TGCTCTTTCATCTAATCAAGAACACAGGACTTCACTACCAGGAAGTAGTAAACTGAAAAACAAGAGCATTCATACTGTACATTTACCATTTACTTTGTCAGCAATTTGTTAGACTTCCCTTTTATTGCTTTACTATTGCAGATATTTGGGTATGAATTAGATGTTTCTTCATCTGCACCTCTTGCTTGATTCTGCAGTGGAGTCATAATCCTGCATCCCATGGCTTTGGACTTCTGGCCAGCATTATGACTTTGTTGCATGACCACATGGGAAGGATGGATGGGTTGTGAGATTGAAAATCAAATTTTAAGAAACAAGGTTCTGCTGCTCCATTCAGCAAAAGCAGTCGCACTGCTGCAAAATGGTGTAAGTCAGTGATGAATTAGGTCCACTTTATCTCTATTAATTTAGCAAAAATGGCCAGCAAAATCATTAAATGCATGGGAAAGTAATAGTTATAATGTGTTAAGCCTTTTGCCATTGCTTATTAGCATACCCCTGAAATCTATAGAATGTTAGTTCATGCCTGCTACAGTTTGCAGCACAGTTGCATGTGTTTTACTTGGACACACCTGACATGTCTAGCAATCCACAGCAGGTGAAGTAGTATTCTCTGGTGAAGACTTTCCATTCTCTGTTTTAGATTGTTGTCCGAGTCACAATTTTAACTGATTTTTTCTGCCTCTGTGTGTGTGTGTTTTTGTGTGTGTATGTGTTATATAAACATTTTGTAAGTGAAAATTCAATCCTTCTGATGAACTACTAAGCTTGAAATAAACTTTAATCCAGAAGAGCAGGATCCACTTTTAAGCACATGAGTAATCTCATTGACTTTAGGGGAGCTATTTGCATGCATAAATGAAGACATATGCTTAAGTACCTTGCTGATTCATGGCCTACAAAAGCTGGTTTAAACCTTTCATATTGTGAGGGGACTCTCGGTAGGTTTCACCACACAATTCCACCAGTGCACCTCCATCCTGAACTTCTGCACTTCCGTTGTTTTCATGCCTGAATCTGTGAAACCCAGATCTTCAGTGCTACGGAATTGTTTAGATGTGGGAACTGATTGTTGGGGACACGAATGACATGAGGAAATACATTTTATTTGTAATTTAAGATTGAATTGGATTCCAAATGTGCAGAATTGAAAAATCTCATAACTTAGTGATTGGGGCTGTTGTTCATGCTTCAAGGTACTGTGCTCATTGCAGTGTGCACTTTCTGAGGGGGAAGGGCTCCAAACACCTTTTAGCCCAGGAGTGGGCAAAAGGGCCTCCGCGGGCCAGATTCAGCCCACCAACCAGGTTGATCCGGCCCATGAAGACCCTGCTGTTTCCCTGCCCCCAGGTCAATTAGGGCCTGGGGGCAGGAGGAGAGCATGAAGTTTCCTCCACCCTGCCCCCTCCCTGCAAGGAGTGCATGGTGCTTAGAAGTGCCACACACTCCTGGTGGGGCAGGAGGAGGCTTTGCACGCTTCTCCACCTCCAAGATCTGATTGGCTTGAGGGAGGGGGAGCGTGCAAAGTCTCCTCCCACTGCCAGAGGCATGGGTGCCCAGGGGGGACTTTAGGGGGGAGGGAGCAAAGGCATTCCCCCACTCCCAGACCAATCATGGTCTTTGGGTGGGGAATCAGAGAAGTATCCTGGCCCCACCCCTTTCACTTGAGGCCCCGCCCCTTCTGGAGTGGCCCGGGGCCACTTCAAAAATTTCTGAAGTGACCACTGGCAAAAAATTATTGCCCATCCCTGTTTTAACCCTTAAGATAGACTACACCATGCTGATGAGCATGTGCTGCACCCTGCAAAGGGTTCCAATGACATTTCAGTGACTGGATTTGCTCCTTTCAGTTGGCTATAGGAGAAACGAACATACAACCAGGTAGATAAAGTGGAGTATGCTGTCAAATTTACAGCAAAAGTAGCTTTTATTTAAACTGATAGTATTTCAAGTCTCCCAGATTAATTTTAGACATCGGGGAGCTCATATTGACTAGCATGATGACAAATAAATGCTTCAAAGTTTTACTATTATATGCTTTTCCTATGTTGACTTTCTGTGATCTCTCAAGTTATCACATCTCACTGACACAAAGGTTTGCAGGAAGTGAATTTCAAAACCATGTACAAGAATAGTTCCAAAAACTTATTTTTCCATTCACACGTGTACATGAGTATTCATGCCTAAAGTTCTTATCCAGACAGGGAACAGGAAAAAAATGGTGTGAATTTCTGGTCAGTCACAACCATCAACTCAACTTGAAAATCCAGTTCTCTTAGAAATCTGTTCATACTCAAACTGCCAAGTATTTTTTTAAAACTGCAGTAGAAATAACTATGAATAAAAAATTCAAGGAAATAGCAGTTTGTTCATAAATATGCCACAAGTAAAAAAAAGTCAAAATTAATCAAATACATGAATTGTTATCAATTATTCGCTTAGTTCCAGTCAATTATCATAGCTCAAGATCACAAAATAGGTATAGTCGAGATGTAAACAGATTTAGAACAATATCTGTATCTGGAATGGGTTTGAAAACAAATGTTAATGGATATGTTTCAAGTATGAATGGAAAGATTTCAAATATTTTCTTTATAGAGTGAATATTAGAGGCAAGCGCCTTATCCTAAGCCATCAGAGTGAAAGGCTATTGTCAGCATTAATTTATATTGATGTTTTTCTGTTATTTCTGTGAATCTGATTTGAATTTGATATAAAAATCTAGTATGTCATCTGTGAGGTAATTCTAGAGCATTCACGAAAGAGCCATTTTTTTGCTGCAACATCTGAGCAATTGAAACTATACAAAACATTGATTTTATAATAGTTTTGTTTTATTCCTGCCATTTAATGCTCCAATTCAAACTGTGTTTTATATTCAAGCTCAATATACCTAAAATGCTAGTAACAATTTTTTTTTCTTTTAAAGCTTTTAACAAAATACTAGGAGTGCTTTTAGTATGAAACACAATTCAATGCCACAACTCAGGGGAGCAAAGTGTGTTTGAAAGACAGCAAGTCTTAAACTAGTCCTGTTGTTTCTTTCTATAAATAAATAAATAAATGAAATAAAATTGTTCAAGTAAAAAGCATATTGGGCTAAAATGCACCCCTGTAATTTCAATTCCTTCAGTAGAATTGTGCCACGGATGAATTTGGCCCATTAATTCTACAATGGTCATTAACATTTTAGTACTTGTGCCAAGTTGTTATAAATCCGAGGAAACATTTTTTATATAGAGTCTTTTAAACAAGATATTAACATGTTGGCTTAAGGCTACGTGTAGCTTAGGATTTGTGGAACTCAGTATCACGTCCCAACAATGTGCAGGAGGATCATCAAAACAATTAAGATGAAAACACCATCCACAGTTATAAATAAAGTGAGATGAGATAGTAATGCACTAACTGGCAGCCTGGCAGCAAAAGCTGAAGTCCTGCAAGCTCATCCCACACTCTGTGCTAGTCACTCATCAATGTTTATATGAGTAATGGAGCAGCTGGGGGGAGGGAATTTGTAAGCACAGAGCAAATACTCTTAGTGCTCATTTTGTGTAAGACTGACGTCCACACCAAGTCGAGACTTCCAGGGATGTAGTGTGCAGCCACATGCTGTAGCATTCATGAGTACAGATATTAATCAGACAGATGTTTGTCGACTGGAATGGGTAATAATTTCTTTATCTTTTTCTTTGATTTTTGCATGTTAGCTTCAGAGGACAATTTCAGCATTGCTTTCTTTGGTACTTTTCAATAAGCTGAATGTGATTCAGTGAGTTTTTTACAGTGTGTGTCAGTGCTGAAACAAACAAGGATGTTATTTGGACTTCTTGTTTTAAACCTAGGATTGCTATCTCTTTTTTCTAAACAGACCAAACATGACACGGTTGTTCAAAGTGAAATATCAAAGTAGCACCATTTATTGTTTGCAAACTGATTAAAATGTTATATGTCCTGGAATCACTGGCTTACTGTGCAACAAATATAAGATTAGAAACAATTAGAAGACACTCCAGAGATTTGTGGTGTTTAGATTTCTGACATTGTTATAATCATCCTTTGAAGTAATGAAAACAATGGTTACCTAGAAATTAAACGTTTACAGCAAATTATCTTCTCTAGTATAGTCATTAGTTAATGATTATTTATCATTTTTAATGTTCCTGGAATAGTTTAGTGACCGAGACTGATTTAAATTTGAAAGTATTACATGCAGGACATTTTTCATATTGAACAAATCATCTGTGTTGCCTTTTATTTCCCTATACATGTTATAAGTGGTCTTGTGCTATAACAATTGAAAGAGAAGTTTGATTTTTTTTTCTCTTATATGACCTATATACTAGATTTCTAAAGATAGCTCAGAATATCCAGGCTTTTTTCACTATGGTATTTCATAGCTTTCTTACTAAAACATCTTAAGTACAGGATAAAAGTGGAAGTCATTCATTTTCATTTTGATGTATTGTAGCTAACAGTTATGTATTATGAAACAAATCAATTATGTTAATATTTTTGTACTTCTGGAAGTAGTTTGGGTTTTTTCTTAAAGAAAGAACTTTGAAGGAATAACCTTTTGTACTAAAACTTCTTACATGTGTTGGGAATTTTAACACTTCAAATCTCTTCTGAAGGACCAATATTTTCAAAAATTTAAAACTTCTCTTAATATTTACACTTCAGACAAAATAAATGCATCATGCTGATTAATGCGAAGTTTTGCGTCAATGTTCTGTTTTGGTCTTTTGATATGATGCAGAAATACTTGTGCTTCTGTCAGTGTTTTTTGGAGTAAAAATGTTGACTATATTAATTAGATATGTTAAATATGAGATACACATTGGGAGATGTGATATAGAAATGTATAGTATATTAAATTGTAACCCATACAGGATGAGAACATCATAATAAACCTTTTCAGTAGACAGATGTGTACATTTCTGTGACTGATTTTGTTGGAATGATTTATTAACCTCAAATTGTTCTCAATTAATTTTCAGCACCAAATCTTAAAGGCAGACCCCGCAAAAAGAAGCCATGCCCACAGAGAAGAGATTCAATAAATGGTCTAAAAGATTCCAACAATAATTCTGAAAACAAAGCTGTCGCCAAGGTAAATAATTTAGTAGTATTCTCTTAAATACCCTTTTTTTTTTTAAAGATACAGTCCTCCTTTTGTTTGTCAAATTTAGAGTATAACTTTTTCTTTTAAATAAGTGCAGATTTTTTTCAAGGAGTTGTATTTTTTATATTAGGCTGCCTCGACTGTAGACGTTACTAACAGCAATAATCACCTGGAACCTAATCACTCAAAACCTAAGGCTGTGGGCTTGCTAGGAAAAGGGCAGTGATTATGCTTTTATGGCATCTAGTGTTAGTTTTCACATTCTGTGATATACAAACATAGTTTGTCTCAGTATCTTCATATTAAAAATAAACCAGTAGAGCCATTCCAATGTAATTCTAAATATACAATTTGAAGATAGACTCTGAAATTAGAGCAGCCTCTAAATGATGGTTTCCAACAAGCAAGAAAAAGTACATTAGAGGAGGAATGTTAAAGTTCTGACTTAAAAGGAAGGAAATTCAGAATGTAAGCTTAAAGTCTGGACTGGATCTTTAACACATGCTCTTGTGCCTAGACATTCCAGGGTTCTGAATTGTATATATTCTTACATAGTGTACTATATGGGCTGGGGTATATAGCTACACATTGTGAGTGAAAGTTGTATTGTCTGTCTGTCATTTTATACTTGCCACTTAGGCTTTTGTGGATTTCAGTTCATCTGCTACAATTATTTTAAAAAAATTTCTGTAGATTCATTTACTTTATATTGGGGGGGGGGAGTTAAATATGAGTTTGGTTTCTCTTTCAAAATAATAATTCACTCTACAGCCTTCTTCAAGACCTTTATGGTAAGTTAAATTTGAGAGCAAATTATCAGGGGAAAGCTGTAAGATGGAAAGACTGAAGGTTAGAGACGGACCTGCCAACAGGCTGTTTGTTACCTATTGCAGTATGAATTCCGTCATTGTGATATTGACGATGTAATGGTGCATAGATTTAATTTCCATGCCAACTCCTTGAGTTTTATATTTTAGCAAATTCTGTGGATGTGCATCTGAAAGGCATGAATATCTCTTTGGGAAATACAGTGAAAACCTCTACCGAGCTGTCCAAGTTCTTTTTTGTTTTACATGCTTCCTGTCCTGGGGAGATTACAGGGTTAAAAAGGTTAAGTGACAAGGCTATATTCTCTGTTACTTATACAAGGGTATATTAAATACCATCTCTTAGTCTCCAGTTTTCAGTTTTGGTAAAATCACAGTATAAATTGATGGCAGCAAAGAAATCCAAAGTTAATGATGAGATTCTGTTCTTAAGTCGTCATTAGTCCCTTTGTGTGCCCTGTTTTGCCCAGACATCAGCTAAAAGGAACTGAATCCTGATGTTTTGACTTTCAGGATACTTAGAGAAATATGATAGACTTTGTCGGAACGTTCTAGCTGTAGATATATACAAATTTGCAAAGCCTGCAGGGCAAACATCCCATTTCGGATAAATTCCCCAGGATTTGCTGTTACAGCAAATCTCTTCCTCCAAAGCACATGACACATTTTCTGAGCACAAGACAAGGAAACACCATACTGGTAATTATGGTCTACATTGCATACAATGTCTACCTAGACAATTTATTAAAACACACCTTATCTGATTATCTGTATTATAGCTACATAAATGTGGACACTTTTACTCATCACATATAAGAATGTTTCAAATAAGAGGAAATATCTACCTTTTTTTCTAGCCATACTGCACTTATTACTGTGCGGACATTAGCAACTTTCATTATCCTAGCCAATTTAATTTCATTATAAATAATAAAAGTGTTAATAATTTAAGGCAGTATGTTGAAGTTCTTACACATGCGTGTAGTCTCACTGACTTCACTGGGACTCTTCATATAAATATGCGTTGCAGGACTGAGTGTATATTTTATTCAACACTGGGGGTTCGTCTACACAGCAGCATTATTTCAGAATAATTTTCCGAAATAACAATGCGAGTGTCTACAAAGCAATTCCATTATTTCAAAAAAAATTGAAATAACAGATGGTTTATTCCGACTTCTGTAAATTTCTTTCCATGAGGAATAACACCTATTACGAAATAGCTATTTTGGAATAGCAGTAGTGTAGATGCTCCACTGCTGCTATTTCGAAATAGCTCCCCCCCAGGCCATTCAAAGTAAATACTCCCTAGGGCCTCCTGGGGCTCTAAATTGAAGTAGCACATCCACATTAGGGGAGCCTGCCTCGGACTAATTTTGAGGCTTCCCTGTTGTGTAGACATGCTATTTCGAAATAAGCTATTTTGGAGTATTTCTTCCGAAATCGTTTATTTCAAAATAAGTGTGCAGTGCAGATGTACCCTGGGTGAGTTACCAACAAATGAAGATAACTCCAACACAGGATCATTGCACTTCAAGCTGAGTCTTGGCCTAATGCTTTGGGTCTTCTTTGTGGCGAGGGTTGCAGCCATCCCAGTTTCTCACCGTTATTGTTGGATGCTTGGGTAACACAGATGTCAGATTTGGATCCAGGCTAGGTTGCCCCTTAAGATTTTTCCCTTTTCTGTCCTAGGAAATTGGTAAATATCCAACAATAGCTGCCAAAGAGTCCACCTAAACCAGTGTTGAAAATGATTTAACTGACAGTGTGGATGGCACAAAACCACTTTCAGTGTCAGTCACAAGACTGTGTTTAGTAATGATTTTGGGGATGGTTTTGTCTCATCTACTCTCACCTGTAACTATCAGTTGCACAGTTTTCTGCACTGATACAGGACGTCCCATTGTTGACAGCTGTTATTAGCCACTGGAAAGTCTCTTAGTCAAGACATCTTTTGCTGATGGAGGCAGTGTGGCCTGTCAACATTTTCATTACTGGAGCCCCACGGGTGAAGCAAATGGGAAAAGTGCCGGGATTCTGAACATTTTGGTTTTGATTCCTTCATCTGTAAAGGACCATCTCTGACCACGTAGCAATAACCACTTGCTAAACTTCATATTCTGAGCTGTCACTGAGTGATTAAAAAGCTTTTAAAACCATTCTGGGTTTAGTTTTCATTAAGCTTGTTTATCTAAACTATGAGCAAACAAGCGTGTGGACTTTTCTTGTTACTTGACACACATAAAGGCATTTGATTTGGTTTCGGTAGTGCTGAATACATTCCAGGTCATGCAGCCTTTTAAAAACTGAATTATAGCTCTATTCCAGTGTTTGAGAGTTCTACTTTGGGAACCACTACCTCCATAAGGCAATAAGCCTGCTCTGGCATTTGATCTTTGTGCTGGCCTTTGTGTCCGTCTTATACCAACTAGGAGTTTCCTTGGATTGAAAATCCTGACCTCACTGAAGTTTGCTGTTAACTTCAGTGGAACCAGGATTTCTTCACAGGTGGGATGAAATCTCAAACCCTCTCTTTTATCAGCAGTGGTTTATGCTCTCCCAGGTATTCTCAGGCTTTAACATTTCATATGTCAGTCTTACTGGAGAGATTTCCACAACTTTTGAGTACAGTGCAAATCTAACCACATCTGAAACTAAACCAGCATGTTCTCTTGGCATTGTGCCACCATAGAAGTTCCCATTCAGTGTCTGTAAAAATGGGTTATAAGATTTGTTAAAATGGTCTGATCTGCCAGTTCTAGGAGGTGGAAGGATTAATTTGTTAAACATGGAAATTGTTCCCCAAGTTAATGTACTCATTACAGCATCCCCTAATGCAAATACTGAAATTGAATTCTCACTTCATTTTTGTGACAAGGGGTGGAAAATAAGTTTTAAATTACCAACACATGCTCTTCCTAAAGCCACAGGTGGTCTGGCATGCTATCAGACCTGGAAAGTTATTCTTAGATCCCCAACATTATCTAATTAAAAGAATTTAATCTGGTTCTGGAGGGAGCTGCGAGGTGCATATTACATGACCTCTGGCAGAATAAAATGACTGTAAGGTGTTTTTATTTTCCATTAATGTTATCCCCATTGTCCATAATTGGAGGGTCTTCTGTCCCTTGCCATGGGTGACACAGCCAGTGCTAGAACAAAGAAATGGATAAACATTTTCCAGGGTCATCACAGAAAAAAACACCCCGTTCTTTATATTCACTGACTCTATCCTCAACCTTGTGTTGTTGGCAATGAACTGTTATTTTGGAGCAGGGGAATCAAATTTCATTTTGGATTAGGATTTTTTTAAAAAGAGGCCTGTGGGAATTAGGCACCCAAACTCAATTGAAAATCTCAGTTTTTGCTATACGATTAAAAGAGCAGGAAAGGATTTTCGAGTTTTCTGAATACGCTCGGCAACAAAATGATTTTCCCAGGACCAACCATTATCAATCATGCAAATGAGCTACTTTTAGTGGGCTCAACAGGGTTGGGATAACTTTCCCAGTGATCTGGATAGTATCTGAAAGTTTACTGGATCCAGGTGAAGGAGTCTGGTCTGAGACATAGTAAAGGGGATTCATCAAAGTAAGTGTGCATGTGGGTTCTACCTTGCCTCACCTGTAGAAATGTGTATTAGAAAGTGGTTCAGATTTTTTAGAACTTTTTCTGGCCCAGGGCCGCTGACCCACAGAAAAATCAGTTGGGGGCTGCACACAAGTGAGAAGCAAAAAAACCCCAACTCCCCCCGCTCCCCACAAACACACAAAATCCCTCAATCCCTCACGGATGTGGTCACACATCCCCTCACAGGTAGGGGACCCAGCCTAGAAGATTTTGTGTGCTCCGGTAGATGGGGGTCTGAAGTGCCAGCATTGGAGACTCGATAAAGGCATGCTGGGGGCTTCATGTGAGCCTGAGGTTTCCCACACCTGTTTTAGAAAGTGATTTGTCAGTACTGTCAAGGGTGTCTATAATGAAAGGATAACTCCTACAAAAGAAATTTAGAACTTTGATTTTATAACAGATTTAATAAAGCTAGCCAAGCAGAATGCTGCAGAGAATGGGGGAAAGAAGGGGTACCACTCCATGTTTGTTGTCTTTATGCATCTTGCCTTCTGGGAAGTTTTTAAAAAGTAGCCAATACTTCACAAAAACTTACTAAACTGGATCAAAGACTGTGTTTAAAGCACAGGTTTTCAGATGCCCTAAAAAATTTTGAACAGAGATCCAGACCCCTTTGGAAATCTTAGTCATGGTATGCAGACCCCCAAGCGTCCATGGACTACAGGTTAAAAACCAGTGGTTTAGAGTAGTGTTTCTCAATCTTTTTTTATAAAGTACCCCTTTAAAAACAATTATAAGTACCCCCAGTACCTACAGTTTTCAGACACACAAAATTTTTTCTACCATTGCAACACATTTGTTTAAACAACTTAATTGTAGCCAGGCAGGCGATGAAATTTTCAGTGTAAAGAGTATAAAATAATAAAGTGCTGTAAAACTTAAAACAAAAATTCAGTTTTCTCCAAATTTCAGTTGTGTTGACATACTCCCCAGACTTTTCTCAAGTACCCCAAGAGTACTCGTACCATTGGTTGAGAAACACTGGTTTAGAGAGATGAGAATTTTGGGGTCAGTGTCTGATTTCGGTTGTGACAGTGTAAACATGGAGTAACTGCATTGACTCTAGTGGGATTATGCTGAATTTACCAGTTTAATCAAGAACAGAATTTGGCACTGCGACACCAAATTATTCAGTGATCATTTGTTCATAATGCTTGTCACATGGTGGCGAAATTGTACGTGGAACTCTGCAGGCTTTCTCAAGGGGGTCAACAAATCTGAGACTGCTTATGTGTCCTTCCTAGACATTTTTGGTTTTTTTGAGTTCTGCAGACACTTTGACTTCCCTGTTCTGTATATTGAGGTATAGGGAGCTGTGTATTACATGGATTCCCCACTTTCAATTTCTTTTTTCTTCCTTTTTTTATTCCATTATGTCTCCAAAGGTGTGTCTACACAACACCCTTAGCTTGAAATAAGCTATGCAATTTGTGCTATGCAAATTATGTAGCTTATTTCAATTATATTTCAATTTTATTTCTACACAGCACCAAATTTTGAAATAACACACTATTCCAAAATTCCCCTTAAACCTCATGGAAAAAGAGTTACTAGAACCTTGGAATAAGCTGCTCATTATTTCAAAATCTATTTTGAAATAACAAGCTGCTTCAATAGACGCGGAATAGCTATTTTGGGATATTTCCGGTATCCCAAAATAGCTCTGCAGTGTAAATGTACCCCTAGAAAATAACCTTCCTTACCATTAATTTGCTTTTGTGTGAATCAGTCTGCTTCTGATTTATAATTTTTGTTTAAGCCATCATTGCTTTGTTTGTAACAGCCTATTTTAAAGTAAAACATTGAAAATGGGCAGATGGACTTTTTTCTCTCAAGTGTGTTCTGAAAATGAAAAATGCTCCCAGGTGAAAAATGTTTATTCCAAGTTTTGTCCTTCAACAAATTTATGGCTCAATTTAAAACCCTAGAAATTATTGAAATTATCATACGGAATAATTTAGCACTCTGTATAGCACTAAAATGCCTTTAAATATTTGTTCAGGTCAGCAGGGTAAAAAAAGCTCCAAGGGATTAGTTACTGACTGAAAAAAGGAGGGCTTGATCTAAAGCCCATTGAGTCAATGGAAAGACTTCTATTAGCTTCACTGGGTTTCAATGAGACCTTGTTCTTTACAGAAGTCTCCTCAAAAACAGTACTGTGACTAAAAGGCAAAAGACAATATATTTATTGCAGGATGTTTTCTTCCTAACGTCAGATCAAAGACTATTGAGAGATATCAGGAAAGCACCTGAATGGATGGATAAATAAATAAATCTAAAAATTCTCAACCCCATTTTTTAATCCTAATGATTCTTTCTTGTGGAGGAGTAAGGCTCTAAAAGGCTCTTCCCTAGGGTTTGGATAGAGAGGTTTCCTCAAGAAACTACCACCACACTCCTTCAGGTTTGCCATCCTTGGCCCACGTAAGAGGGAAACATCCTGCTCTGTGTTATTCTCTCTAAGGCTTTCTAAAAGAGACCTGCCTGTGCTGTTTTAGAAATGCTAGCAACATGCAGAAGGGTATGTAAGATAATTTCATTTGATATAAAGAAAACGTGATAATTTGGCTCTTTTCTAATTTATTTCTGTTTCTTCATGGCACTTACCTAACATGCTTCAGCTTCAAGGCATTTACTCCCAAAACATAGAGAAGTTCCTATTTTACAGGTGGAGAAACTGAGTCAAAATAAGATCAAATAACTTAGTCCTGGCAGTTTACAGCACCAGAGTAAATAAATGCCAGTCTATCATTACAATCCCAGGATTCCAGACTCTCATTCAATGTTTGTGCTACTAGTCCATGCTGCTCCCGCTCGGCATGGAAATGAAATAATTTGTTTATAGTATTCTTTATCCCTTTCTGTTTACAGAAAAAAAGGTTCTACCTGGGTTATGGAAACATCAGAAAGTCTCTTGCAATGCGTGCCTGTGTAGAAGGATCAGTTTGCTTACAAAATAAATCATGTAACCATCTTCAGCCCATCTAGCAGAATATTTTTTACTGACAGTATTTAGTGGACAAGTATTGATCACACATTATAAAATAACTTGGTTGGCTAACTTCCAAAAATAGTTTTGACTGTTCATTGTACTCTTTGTTATTTAGATACAAAACTATTAGAGGACTGAAATTTACTTTATTGGCTGCAACATCATATGTGTATAAGGACAGCAGGATTAGTATACTTCTTTCTTTTGTTTTTCTTGTTTCCAGTACTGGTGAATTAACATGGTTTCATATTATTTACTCCCTTATTGGCACACTAATATCATTGGCTGTAAAAAAATATATATGAGGAGTCCTGTGGCACCTTAAAGACTAACAGATTTATTTAGGCATAAGCTTTTGTGAATCTAAATGTCAAAAAATGCCCTAATAAATCTGTTAGTCTTTAAGGTGCCATAGGGCTCCTCATTGTTTTTGCAGATCCAAACTAACACAGCTACACACCTATGAGAATTGTTGGCTGTGTCAGCAAGAAAATAGACAGTTTGGGGAATCGTGTGTCTAGAGGCTACTGATTATATACATGGGAAAAGGGAGAAAATGCATGGGCTTTGCCTTCACAAACAGCCAGGTCTGACCCCGCCCACAGAATGCCTGCGCTAGGCATTCTGGGAGAGAAGAGTGTTGCTGCCTACAGCACCTGCCCTCTCATTGCTCAAGGGCTTGGGCCATGCCACACATCCTCCTCCCTCCCCCACTGCTCCAGGGCTGGGGAGAGTGCACACCCACCAGATCCCCTCCCTCCCTGTGGTTGGGGGGCTGGTAAGGGACAGGGCTTCAGCAAAAGGGGCAGGGCCGGAGTCTTTTGGCTCTCCCAGCCCTACCTTCATCTACCACCCATGAGAAAATGGCGCACATTAAATGGTCTCCTGATTCAGCAATGTACTTAATTTTGAGCATATTCTTAAGCTCTATTGACTTAGGTCCAAAACCATACTGAACAGACAATGCCATGAATGGGATTTTTGACCTGTGGGATTTGGCCTACATTTTAGTGGGCCAGAAAACAAGTTGAGGCCTTTATGAACATGCTGCTACCAGGCAGTGGGCATTAGTGAATTCAGTGAGAGTTGAACATGCTCACTATCGCACATCAAGCCCTAACGGAGTGGAGGGTGGCTATTCGTCTTGCTGCTGTTTGATTGTGTGTGAGGTCTGGGGGCTTTCTGTAAAACAGTGATGCACAGTAATATGAATACAGACCTGGAGAACATTGCATTTAGGCTAAAACTATGTGAAATGTGTAGCCATTTGAAAGTGTTGTGACTAAAATTCACAGCAAGACAACAGGTCTATAATTAGTTTCTCCGTCCCTCCCTCACCCCTCACCCCCCCCCCCAACTCAATAGGGGGGTTTGGCCTTCGTATTAAAGAGCACACTTGTTAGATGAGGATGTGGGAGCAGTTTGTTAATCTCTTCAATGAAAATTAAAGGTCAGACAGTTACCCAGATCTGATATGACATCCCTTCATTTTCCAGGTAAAATGTGAAGCAAAGTCAGCTTTGCCCAAACTCAAAAGTAACAACAGCTACTGTAAGAAAGTCTCAAGTGAAGAAAAATCAAAGGTTGCTGTAGGTGAAGAGTGCCGAGCCGATGAGCAAGCTTTCCTTGTGGCTCTTTATAAATACATGAAAGAAAGGAGAACACCCATTGAGCGAATACCCTATTTAGGTTTTAAGCAAAGTAAGTATAATTTTTTATCATTTTTTGTTGACATTTTAGAGCTGTTTGGCTTCTTTGTAGAAAACATTCACACACTGAGACTATTTGAAACCCTTTTTGGTTTTGTGACTATGTTTATGTTTACACAGTTTCCAGTCCAGACATTTTACTGTCTCTAACTTCTAGATTTGCATCTCTTCCTTCTGGGGCAGTTGCTGCAGGATATTTATAGGTTTAAATCCACTGATTATGACTAGAAATAGGCATGCTGAAAACTCTCTAGTTTTCTGTTTTGTAAATCTCCAGTGTCTGTAATGCCTTTCTTCTGAGTTAATAACGTGACGTACGTTTATTGTGCCCAGATGTTCTTTATGAAAAGACAGATATTAAAGAGAGACATTTAAAGGGGGTCAAGAAAGGCACAAAAGGGATCGCATTTTAAGCCTAAAAATTTGTTTATAGGCAATAAATTACTGACTTCAGAGACTATAAAAATAGACTGTATCTGTTTAATACAAAATACAATGTTTAGAATTGGTTTGGCATGTACAGTTTTTAGTGACACAATTTGTAAAGCAATTGTAGGTGGAGGAGATACAGTTGCAACTAAATTCTTCATAAATATTGCATAGTAAGTAGGAGTGTTTAAGAGTTTACAACAAAAGCTGTATCTCTGCATTTGTGCATGTGTATAAAATATACTATACATACACACATTATATATACATGATACATATTGCCTATAGGTTGAATGGTTAAATTATCTAAAAGGAGAAATCCATGGTTTTAAATATTATTTACTCAAACTTATCTCCCAAGATTAAAGCCATGTGTTATTTTGATGAAGAATGTCAAACCTGTATGTTTTACATAACAATTTACATACTTAATAGCAATTGGCACTGATTGCAGCAGACCTCTAGCAGCCATTATAAACTTATATAACTCTGAGTGATTACAATGTTTTGGCTGCTTGAAATAGAAGTAAAATTAATGTACTATGAACAGCTTTGTTGCATTATGCATTGATTCAGATTAAATCAAGGCCTAAGCAAAGCTCTTGATAGCTTTGAAATAGTACAGAGTTTGTTCAGTGAGACTTTCCAAGCATTTTGTGTGGAAGAATGCTTTTTTTATTTTCATTTTA